TTCGTAACGCGTAAAATGTCCACCTTGTGTGTCACGTGCCGTCCGTACTTTGTTTGCAAAATCGCAGTACGATTACATCCAGCATCCAGCAAGTCAAAATTTTACAAAAATTGTTACGAAGAAAATACATAACTGCTAAAAGTTACAACATTCTAATATTTGCCTAGAACTGTCTTAACAAAACTCATTGAAATTACTATCGAGTCTATCATTATACTCTTGAATAAAAGCAATATTCAGCTACTAATTTTTCCTGTAATCTCGGAGTTTTTTCAATTTTTAACATTTTTAAATTTGCTTCGTCGGCCACCAGAGACCGACGCGGCATTTAACCTTAATATTAATATCATTAGAATGTGATTACTATTGCCAAATTATATTCAATTATATTGACCACATTGTGCCCGTATTTTTAGAATTTATTTATCCTAAGCGAGATAAATTCGATTTTCACATCGATCAGGATGATCGTCCTCTTTCTTCGTTTACTCGAACGGGGGGAGCTCAAATTTTCATTATCACACGCTTCCTGTGATCGTTCGGCCGTGATACACGAATCATTAGAGAGTTCTCTCTGCCCCGGGGATCATCACGAACTTCTGCAGACTTGGCAGAAAAAGTCGGCAATCCGTAGTTTCCAGCTATTAGGGTAGCTTCTCCTTCGCGCGACTAGAAGAAGAAGAGCGCGCCAAGTCCCTCGGGAGCTCATGGATGCCCGGAGGCGTTTTTTCTCTTTGTACACGGCGATCTAGCTGCTACGTGTGTGCCGACTTTTCCTCCCGGATGGTTCGAGCAACTAGCCCGATATGCGAGTCTTAACCTATATTCCGGGTTCCTATTCGCGAGGAAGTTCTTAATAATGCGATTATCGCGGCGTCCTCAATCTCGGCGTCGTTTCTTTCGCTAATTCCATCGTTCGTCGATCGCCAACCATTTGCAAGCGTGTTTGACAGGCTAATTCCATCGACTTATACGGAGGTTTGCTCCTTCAAACAAACATATTACGAGAAACTGCAACGATAATTATTTATTTTAATCAACAACATATATAATAAGATTTCACTTAAGGCGACCGTTTGCTTTGGATGATTGTCAACAACTGAGAATACAAGATATTTTCTGCTATTTCATCAGCGTCGCTGCTGTTGAACTCGCTTTTGAAAATACCCCGTCGCCCCACTCCAATTTATTGTGTTGCAAACGCATGTCTGTGTTTCAGCTCGGATCCGAACGAGTGGACGATAACTTGTGATGCTGCGGATTATCGCTCTTGCAGGTATTCATCACACCTTTCATTTAATTTAATTAGTGAGGCGAACGGCGAATGAAGCGAAAATTACGACTCGAGGCAAAAAAGACGTCTTTTTTCGATTTTTTTTTTTTTTTTTTTTTTTTTATGCAACGAGGAAAAAAGAACAACGTCCAACCAGTGAATTAGCGGTCTCTGTATAATGTCGGCTTGTTTGACAGGAGTTGAAATTTGTTGAAAAATGGAAACTTCTAAGGAAAATACTCGGTCCCTACATTTATGCAGCGAGGCGTGCTGTTTAAAATTCTTAAAGTCCAGTTGCCTGAAAAATTACTGGAAGAAAAGAAGAAAAGAGTGGGAAGCGGTGCGCTTCGACCGACCAAGGACAAATTATTCTCATTTTGTAGTCGTAATAAGAAACAGCGTGGCCATTTACTAGCGGACGATCCTATTTTCAGCGTTTCTTCGAATTTGCATTTTCCACGCGTTTTCGTTATAGACACGGCAGCGTGAATCATTCCTTTCCCCCGAAGCTAAATTGCCAGCATCTTCTTTTCGTTTTGCCCCTCTCTCCTCTCGTCGAGGAGTTGTTCATTTTTTTCATAGTTCATAAGTTGCCAACGAGTGTTCAATTTTAGCTTATTATAACGAGAAAGCTCTCTCGGTTGCGGCTGATCGCAGTAATTATTTTACAAATATCGAACGAACTGTACAAATCAAATTCATCGTTTCGCAAATCAAGATTTTCTACAAATTTATTTTACAAATTTAATCGTTATATCAAGCCATTGTATGTAAAAGTGAAAAAAGATGTAATGTTATTGTTCCAATAAAATAAAAATTTTATTCCATGTATGTAATAGCAGGAAATAATATAAAAACGACGTGAAATTAACACAAAATATTTATTCAACACTAAAAGTCAGAATAATCAGAACAACTGCAATGAAATCCGCAATATTGTTTATTAGTCAATTAGACGCGTATTCGATTGATTTTCAATTGATTCATTTTCCTCTCACGTATTTCTCGTCTAATTTTGAGCCATAGGATCCTGACTCGATTTGTACCATGAATTTTCGACCACCCTGTATACACATATATATAGATTCATATTTAACAATTCATTTGTTATGCAGCTTTATAGAGATAGCTTTATATGTGTGTGTGACAGTTGCAACAAAAACGATTAATAACGAAAATCCATTAAATGTTCATGGTTTGAAGGATCAGTTAAAATATTTCTCGCACAGAATATAATATTTGATAATTGCACAGAAATAATATTTAACATCTTCAATGATAGTCTGTTAATTCATTTTTAAGCCGCTCGCAAGATAAATTTGATTTGCAAACAGGTGAGTGTGATCTTCAGAAGGGTTAATTTATACAGTGCAAGAAGAACATGAAATCCACAGAAGGATTGTAATTCAAAGTGCTAAAACCTTTTTTTCAGCGACACATTCTCGAAAATGTTTCCATAGAGACGTAAGCTTGGTCCGAGACAAGAAATCCAGCTCGTCGACGAGCGAACTGACGAGGAAAACGTAAACGTCGAGTTGTCGATTCCAAGTCCGATGTAGTTGATTTAGTTGCTGGCGACTAATTAGCCGTCGTTCCAACCAAACCGAGATTATCATTTTCCCGAGATAGCACTTTCGCTCGGACGTCATTCGCGGATTTAGCGGCGGACAGCTCGGGATTCTACTTTAGTTGCTCGTTAAATCTGGGTTAAGCGTTTCAACGCCGACAAGTTCGGACTCGATTTCCACTGTCGTCATCAAGCTCCGAGTCACGTGATCGGTGCGCGCATGCTACTCTGCTGAAGATTCGTTTTGGAATAACTTGGACGCGCAGATAACTTGAAGAGTAGGAAATTTGAGGATTTTTGCATTATTATTACAGACAGAATCCTTTCGTTACGACAGTCCTCTTGAGGAGCGTCGTTATTCAATACGAGATTTCACGCTAAAAGTGTTCACATTGATCGAATCATTTCTCGAGTTCGTCAATCCGTTTTGAAATAGAATCTTTTTTTTTTTGGATTCCCTGGTAACGTTTTGACCAACACAAGCACTTAGAATGTTCTTTTCAAACAGGCTCAACTAAAACTCTAACCTAACCTAACCTAAAAATCTAACCTAGAACTTAACCTCTAACCTAAAAGATTTTTAAGAGATTAATAATTACACCCATAGCCGGTCTTTTCCGAATTATGATAGATTAAGAAAGATTGTTACAATCATTTCTTGTGTAATTTGTCGTCTAAATATTCCACTGTCGAATAGAAAAAATGGAAGTAGCTTGTCTTGATGGTTAAAGTGTATTTTTAATATGTGAGTATTCTAAGATACGTCAATATGTATATCCGGCGCTCGTAATGAAAGAGTTAAAGAAATTTTCTTTGTTCCGTCCAATATATATAATAATTTTAATAATTATATATATATATATAATTATTATTATTATTATATATTTTAATATATACCATAATTGGGAAGGTTAATATTTTAATATTTATATATTTTAATATATACCATAATTATATGATGGTATATATAATTTAAAAAATATATATATATACCATATATATATTTTAATATATACCATAATATATACCACAATTTCTCACCAAGAAAGAGTATCTTTTAGTGTAGAAAAAAAGTTCAGGACAAGAAGTTGAACAGGGCATTTTAAATAAAGACCACATTGCTCGATGAAAAATCGATATTGATGAAATTGTCTAGTATGTGTTTGCTTCAACTAGGATCAGGATTGTTACGTTTCATTGATTCCATCATTTTCGCGGTCGATGGACATTTAGAAATCAATATAAATTGAAAGAAATATCCAAATGAGAAGGCTGACTTTTTTTTCTTTTTTCTTACGAAACATCGCGAGAATGCGCTGTGTTCCTCATTACCAACCTGACAAGCAACCGTGCAAACGCGAATCGTATGAAGGGAGTGAGAAGGGCGTTGTGCATCGCGAGACCCGCCGCATTGTCGACGCCAAACAGAGGAGGACGCGTTCCAACCAGCGTTGAACATTGTGTTCGGCTTAATTGCTCGGCAGATTTCTCGGGCTCGCGAGCACGGATATTTTCTTTTTTTTTTTTTTTTTTT